GTAAAGCTTACAGGACTTTCATGTCAAAAAAGATCGATAATATGCAGTCGCGTGGCGCTTGCCTGTACTGACTGAAGGATTAAATACGCAGATAGTTCCTCGTTAGACTTGAGGGTCTACGCATCACGTGGATCATCGTATGACTACCACTAACCAAAGAAAACAAGAAAATGGCTAGAGGCCATGTCACACATTGAGGATGTATGCGATTTTCAGCAAGCATAGAAGCCTTATTCCTAATGAACTATAGTTCTGTCTCGCATTCTACTCTACTGCGAAGAGGGTGGTGTGAAATCTCCCAGGCGGCTCCAGCTAATCAAAATAATATGGACTGTCAATGAAGGAAGAGACTATAAAGTGCGCCCAAAACTGTTCGTTAAAAGACCATCAGCAGACCGAACGAGCTAAACTCACAGGTAAAACACCTTGAGCAGCAGCAACCTCTGTCCCCGCCGTCCTCCCAGTCTCGCCATAATAAAATTCAATTTGACAGTAGGATCCGGGACGTTTTTGATGAGACTTGGTTTATGTTTACTTAGATGATAGGTCGTGTATAGCACACGGATACGGGCCGGTTAACTTTCTGCCCGCGCCCATCTCCGGCAGTCTTATCCTTGGGACATCACGAGTGTGTGACGAATTAGTGTAGCAATCAGATCCGCGAGTCTGCTTCATTGTAAACGAATTTACATGCAAATTACGGCCGCATTCATGGCCGCTCGCGACAGGAAACTACGAGTACTGACAGGTACTGTTACAATCAAATATTACTCTCTGGCTTATTAGCTGGCATAAGATAGATACACGCCAACTTTGCGTTAGAACCCAAATCAGGTAAATATGGAGCACAATAGAAACCGAGAGTGATGCATTCGGCTAAACCACACCAACTGAAGTAGCCAGATGTTATGAAGCTAAGCCCGAAAAAGATACTAAGCCGGACATTCTCTGATATCGAACTTCTAACGGCGAAGCGAATAACTAGAACAACTACTTAAAAATATTTTACGGAGTCGTCTCACTCATATAGAATCAGCCTCTGCAGCGAATCCACGAAATGTCCCTAATTCTACAAGATATAATACTGGATAGGCTTCAGAGTTTGCGCTGTGGTCGACTCAATGATTTTGAGTGCAAGTTGTATCAGTAAATTAACTAACAAGGCAAAAGTTTATGCGTACCGCTGTCTCAATCT